GGCATTTGATGGATGCTCGACAATGTTTTGGATTTCAGTCTTTGTGAGAAAGCAATACAAAGCTTTGTTTTTGTAAATAAGGATTGTATACAATGAGACAATTTTCCAATGAGATCATTTACTTTCGATACAAGGAGTCGCAAATACTTATAACCATATGATATTATATCTGATAGCTAAGATGGGTCACAAAATTCGAAAAAATTTATTAAAGTTTGAGCTTGATCAATGGAATAAACACATCGATCCAATTTCACATCCAATGGTCACGATTAATTGTGACCACCTTATACCAAAGATAAATAATCTCATTGTATATTTTTCCTTGTAAGTAATAGCATGCACGGATTATAATCAAAAGATCTCATTCAAATGATAAATTTCAACCTCTAAACAGTGAGTTACACCATGAACAATCATAACAAGGGAAATTGCCGACACCAGATTTCCAGCTTTCCAGGTTACCAAGCATGGGAAATTGCTGACACCAGATTTCCCATCCAAGTCACAAGCAAGGGTTCCCGGTTTCTAGTTCACCAGTTTTCCATTTCCACCATTTCTGAAACACCTGGTTTCCCAAAGATTCGTAGAAACTTTTGCATTCCCAATTGCCAAATAAGCAAAAACGATATTGACAATAAGGATTCCTAAGTCACATAGCTATCTTTTGAAAGACGAGCAAAAACGATATTGACAAAATTAGCCATGCAAAAAAAATTAAATTCAACTTTCCAATTAACTTAGATTTCAATTGGACCAAAAATTAGTGTAATGCTGAAAAATTCCATTACAAAAAAAGGAGGCCTAGTTTTTTGGTTTTGGAGGGGTCTTCTTGGCCGCAACCTGCTGCTGCAGCTTTTTATCAACCTCAGAAACAGCCTTCTTCTTGTCCTTCCTCTCCCTCTTCTTGAGGGCATGCATGTGAGCCCTCAACAATGTTGCATATGAGGCCTGAAAGCGCAGGTGATCCTTCGCTGACAACTGAAACATAATACAGTTCCAACTCTAAGAATCCACCCACATGATATAAACCATAAAAATAAAACATACAGTGAATGCAAACCTCTATCCCTCGTACTCATAAAGGCACAGAAGATCCTTTTCTTTTTTTGGGTCAATAGAGAAGATTCTTTTCTGTAGGTAAACATGGTATCTATTCTCACCCCATGTACACATTTAGATAAGGTGTGTTATAGTATGCCATGTGTTTGGGTATATGTGTGAATGGATATTTGTATGAGACCATAATTCAATAAAAAAATACATTTGACAATGTTGCAATCACAATGAAAGCAAATCAGAATCCCCAATCTACCCTGTATGGGACACAATGCAATAAGATATAATGCATTTGACATGTTGCAATCACAACGAAAGCACTTCAAAATCCATAATCTACCCTTTCTTTTTTCAGTTTATTTTCCTTTCAAAGATATTTCCTCACAAATGGTTAGTATAAACTTTCTTCAATATACATATATATTCATTCCTTTCCAAAATGCCAGTAAACTCAAATTGTGTAGAAGACTAGAAACTAAAAGTTGTACATGTGTTGAATAGAAAAAGTGATTTTGATCAGACCTGAAACAACATGGAAGTTCAGTTCACATATGCACTTCTTTCAGTCAAAAAATTTAAAATACAAATAAGAACATTTTTGCTACTGAAACCAAGGAATTTAACAATGATGAAGTTATTTTTAAATATTAACACAGTCAGGAAACCTTGGTCCTTTCTGAATAACCATGTTACATGCATGAAATGCAAAACCTACATTGGGTTTAGGCATCTATAGGGCATACAGAAATGATGTTTTACCATGTCGTGTGGGTAGCCTAAATCACTTAGGCCCCATTTGGATACACGAAATTTTAAGGAAGAGCGCCACTCTCTTTTGTCAACCCACTTAAGGCTGATCAACATCTCAGCTTAGTCCACCACTTTTCACAGGGGAGCTAACTTTTGTAACCCTTCTAGTCTACCAAATGTAGCTGAAATGCCCGTAGCACGGAAAAAAACATGTTTTTCCTATGTTACGAATAACTCAAATACAGTTTTCCAGGATTGCACATAAAGGCAAGCAGGTTTTATAGAGACTTTAAAGAAGTGCAGCACAAGAACTTCCCAGCAGTGTTCGACTGCTCCACCGAGTCCACTCGGACTTGCCCACGTATCCCAGACTTGGGTGTCCAGCTTAGGGATCTTCAAAAAAAAATTCAAAAACATTTATAAAAAATTCAAAGAATAAGGAATTTTTTTATGTTTTCTATCATTTTGGCAAAGATTGGAAAGTATTTTGGTCATGAATACTTATTGTTACATTTTCCCTTCTTTTTTGGATTATTTCTAAAATACCCCCTGTGACATTGATTTTTTTCAAAATTCATCTTTCACTACTTTTTTTACCTCATTTTAATGTGTTTTGTTTCATTTTACTTTAAACATATTTTTCCTAATTTTTGGGATTTTTTTTTTTTACTTTTTTTTTTTTCTGCTACACTACTCAAGCCCAACTCAGGCCAAGTTCCTCGGACTCGGGCAAAGTACTCGGCTCAGACCTGGGCTCAGCACCTGGCCCGAGTCGCTCTTTCTAACATTGTTTCCCAGGAGGTCACCCATAAAGGCAAGCAGGGTTATTACCTTGAAATGACTAATAGCACATCCAAACAGGGCCTCAATGTTCAGTTGCTGGTGGTGCAGTTTATCACAAGTGTAAGCATGTTCTTTTTAATGTGTGAAACTTACAAGGTGGCATCTTAATGCTTGTTATTTTGAAGACCTTCTTTACTTGCCAAGAATAACAAAACAAGGAAAAACACATGGGTGCAAGTTATACGTATTAAGGCTTAGGAGCTTCAAGATCCAAAACTGGGCAGTTGTTGAAAGTGGATGATGTGAACTAGCACAGTATATATAGTTTAAAATTTTTCTTCTACAATACCGGTTAGAACACTAACATATATCCAAGATTTACAATTAAAACTCAAATAAATAAGAAAAAACAAAATTTGGATTCTCAGTTGCTGCTACTTTTCAAAACTTTTTCATTACATAAGCAAAATTACATTAATAGAGTTTGGGAACAAGAAGAGCACAAGAAAGCAAAAAACAAGGTAGTGTGCCAAAAGATTACATCTAATGGACTTTAATCACCCCACACCAGGTCTCCTCCACCAACAGTGCACAAGATCTTGGTCTTTCTTGAATCTCAGCAAATGGGAAGCTTGGCTAAACTATCTAGACAAAATATGAGAGCATGTGTGCTAGGTTGGGCCTCTCTTATTTCTTCTATGTGGGATGTGCCCCCTTTCTTACTAACCACCTAGAGGTTTGCCCCCTTTTAAGACTTAGAGAGTATGAGAGAAAGGGAAGGGTAGAGAGAGGGTGGCACTGGCATCCCACCTTTGAGGAAGAGAGAGAAAGAGAGAGAGAGCTCTAGGTTAGGGTGTAAGGTTTTGAACCCCAATAAGATATATTATATTAGTGAGGCTAGGGCTTGGGATTTAGGAATTAGCCATCTTTATGGAGAATCAACCTAGACCGTTGGTCAAAGGTGACCTTTGGGGTGAGAAATCTTAGTAACCCTTAGATCAGCCATCATGATCTAATGATCTAATGGAAGGTACTAGAACCTTACCCCTCAGCTTCCTTAACCTAATCCCACCAAAATCCCTTTTTATGGAAAATGTCGTATAATTTAAAATTAGTGTCATATGATTATCAATCAAGAGTGATACTTTCCTCTTTCTAAGACAATCAACCAAATCTCAACACATCATCTAGATGGCTTCCTCAACTAACCATCATGTGTCATTGGAGAGAAAAGGGAAAGAGTGGGACATCCCACTCATGGATGACACAAGTGGGCCCCATGTCCCACATAAGTGGGCCTAATGTGGTGGGCACCATTAACTCTTTGGCCCCACAATTTTAATTAAAATTTACAATTAATAAATTGATTTTGAGAAAATCAAGAATACTTTTTTGTTCTCTCTAGATACTTATATACCTAAAAATCCAATTTTGGCTAATTTAAAAATCAATTTTGATCAAATTAAATACCTAGAGCCTTTTAAAGATTCATATTAATATTTTAATAATATTTAGCACAATTGATTATTTTAAAATTATTTTGATGGGAATCAAATCCAGCTTCATTAAGGAAAATGATAATGTACTGTGGCACTCCATCTCTACTGGTGACTATGTCCCACACTCACTTTCTCAAACTAACCCAACAATTCCCATGACCCACAGTCCATCATTGGAGTTCATGATTGGACTACCAACGCCAGCCAATAGATGATAAGAACACAATCCTAGTCTATGGATTACAGGTTCCCCTAAGGACAAGCCTAGGTCACACAAACCCTTGCACACTTATTGCAATTGGTACATGGGGGCTATATCTCGCAGATGCACATGCAACACCCTCAATGGTGTCTACTTCCCAATATGGCCATCATATGTACATGTCGTGCAATGGTCATGATGAGGATTTGGCCCTTGTCCCTTTAGGCCTACCAATCGCACCCAAGGGTCACTAAGTTCCTTGGCCAACTACCCGAGGATCTCTCCGACCTCATCAAGGGCTAACCTTGCTAATCCTTCTCGGTTATGTTTTATGCCCAAGCCTACAGGGTTTTAAAACTCAACTCGGCCTAGCTCGTCACGCCTAGTCTGAGTCTTGGCATCAATGTTGCCAATTTCAGCCCCTCCGAACCATACCCCCACTGGAGTTGTTATTCCACTATTAAAAAATTTCATTATAGGGGAATGATTTCCTGCAACGGTTGTATAGTAATATACTAAAACAATCTTCAAAGACCATGTTAGTGCCATTTGTTTGACCCCAACTTTTAAATATAGACTCTTTTCATTCTAATGAAGAATCACAAAAAACAAAATTTGGAAACACACCCTAGAAAGTATTTTAGCCTAATTAACATAAGCCTTCCATTTTGTTAAGATGCTTAGATCTAGGCTTTAGAAGGATTCCTTCCCTTTTCAAAATATTTAAATAGCTTTGTTATCATTAGATGAATAATATTGAAAAATAAAACAAATAGTTCAAGTTCGTAAAGGCCAAGATCTTGAAATTCATCAAATGAATGGTCTAGATTCATTGTTAGAAGGGACTCATTTTAACCATATCTAGGATGCAAATTGAATTTTTGTTGTTTGGAAATTGATTGTTGCGATGACGAGAGGGCACATGAAATTTTTGGGATCATACAAATGCTACAAACATGGTTTTCCAGCAGTGTGGTTTAATTATATTACTATACAACCGTTACATAAAATCATTCCCCTTCATTATATGCTCTCGTAAGGCCTTAAAATGGCCACACAATCCCAACAATTGTATGTCCATGACCCCATGAGTAACAGATGTGATGGAAAAAGTGGTGATTTTGCAACTCAATACTACTTTTACATTTTATTGACAACAAATTCACTCAAACAAGAAAAGGATGCAAGTATCTAAACCCATAAGAATCAAACACATAACTAATGATACTTCCAAGGGTAATAGGGATTCCTAACCACAAGATGCAACAATATATCAAGAAGAACCTTAGTTGGAGACATTGTGAGGCAGCACGCATCATGCCATAAGAGATCAAGAATAGTCTCAGACCAAATAACAAGTAGATCATATATCTCATGACATAATTTTGAGTGAAATTAAAGATTAGTCTGACAATTCACAAACTACCGAAATGGTGACAATAAAGGTAGAGGACATAGCCCAGTGGTGGATCTTCCACTCTTTCCAACACTATCTACTTCATCAAACATGGATAACCAATGAAACCATAGGGCCATGGTTTTCCACCTCAGATTACATAAGGAGAACCTCTGACATACAAGCCAGTATTTTAGGGAATATCCGAATATCCCCATCAAAGAAGAAAAGGTACTTTACCCTACACCGAGTTGTAGAATCAATCTTTACAAAAAGAGTTGAGGAATCTCTC